ATCTTGGTGTTGTCTGCGAATTTAAACAGGCTGCTCTTCACCCCGCCATCCAAGCTGCTAATAAAGAAATTGAATAGTGCAGGCCCAAGGACTGAGCCCTGGGGGACCCCATGGCCCACTTCCCTCCAGGTCGAAAATGACCCATCCACCACCACTCTCTGAGTGCGACCCCTCAGCCAATCTGCAATCCATCTGACTGTGTAGGCATCAATGCCATAGTCACTTAGCTTTTTAATGAGAACGGGGTGGGAGACAGTGTCAAAGGCCTTCCTGAAGTCCAGAAAGACTACATCCACTGTGACACCTGTATCCAGTGATTTTGTGACCTGATCATAGAAGACAATCAGGTTAGTCTGACAGGACCTGCCCCTAATGAAACCATGCTGGTTGCCCTTGAGCATCATCCCTGCTGCTGGCCCATCACAGATGTGCTCCTTGATAATCTTCTCAAAGAGCTTCCCCAGGACTGAAGTAACACTAACAGGCCTATAGTTGCCCGGGTCTTCCCTCCTCCCTTTTTTAAAGATAGGAACCACATTGGCCCTCTTCCAGTCGTCCGGCACCTGGTTTATACCTTCAGTCCACAGGTATGCGTGTAAGATAATTATCGGTGGCAACTGAGGCCTTCAACTGTCATTATATTCCCTACTCTGGAGAGGTAGGGTATCTTTAATTATTATACCAAGCTCTCAAGAGAACTTTTGATTCCACAGACTGATTAATATTATGTAAGAAACTGGCAATAACAGCAATGGATAAAGCTCTCTTACAATGAATCATTAATTACTATTCAAAAACAGCAACTAGGGTGTCTTATGGGATTGGTGGTGCCTTGTCCAATAGTTTTCCAACTAAGACATAGATACAAAAAGGATGCTTGCTTGCTTCACCACTTTTAAATTTATTCTTGATCTAAAACAGTTGCTAACAGGGAATCAATTCCACGTATTCATTAGTTTGGATGACCATAACCCTCTCTTACTTTATGGAGATGACACATTAATAATGTCACTATCTCAAACATACCTCCGAACACTGTTAGACAGTCTTCACCAATATTTTACCTCAAATATCTTGGAAATCAAAACAGCGAAAAACAAGGCATTCATTCTTGGTAAAGAAAGTTGGAAAATATTTTGATTTTTACAGAAGATAAAACTGTGGTGTTTTCTTTAAAAATGCCTTGGGACCTACTTTTGCATAAAAAAGATCTGGAATGAACACACTGAAAATGTAAAGACTAGAGAAAACAAGACTTGGGAGGAATTTTATCTTTTTACAACAAGATGGGCAGAAGAGGGGTTCTGGAAGCACTCAAGCTCTATAATCTAAGGTGAAGTCCATTTACTGTACAGAACAGAACTCTGGGGTACTGACTCTCTGGTCCACCCAAAAACTGAAAAGGTTTCTAATTATTTCTTTAGGCAGCTTTTATCTGTAACTAATTCTGTGACGGGGGAACTCATGTGCTCAAAAAACAGACTGAAAAATGTAAACACTTTAGCTTGATTAAGAAGTCTAAACTGCCGGATGAAAACTAGATCTTTTAAATGTACCAGATACCCTAAGAAGTACATTTTTTATCCTCTCCTTTGCCAAATAACCCATTTGGATGGTTAAATGACATCTATATTGTCCTCCAGACAAACGACTTGGGAAGTGTATTGAGAGACACTGAACCACTATTTAAAACAAGCACGCAAATGGATATGCTGGCAGTGAGACTGCCTTGAACTTCCCCTTTAAGATTAATGAAACACTGCTTTAACCTAGAACTTAATTGTCTGTGGTGCAACACTACAAACAATGTAAGGCCATTAGTAGATTGAGATGTACTCTAATGAGATCTGCATCTCCCATGGGCAGATGCTCTTTTGGGAAGAATAAGATGGATAACTTAAATGATTATTTGTGGTCTTGTCTGTTTTTTGAAGAAATAAGATGAAAATGGATCTCTCTATTAACCTTGAATTTTAAATACTAAGCTAATGAAGAAAAAATAAATCTGGCTTCTTTCTAATACTTTGGAGCCTGTTCTATACTCCTTCTGTGTATTTGCATTACTTTCATAAAGAATGAGGGCCAAAATGAAACCAAATTTTCATGTGTTGCTTTACTGTCCATAGCTTCATATAATCTTTGCTTTTATATCATCGTATACTATGCTCTGTTTTAATTTTATGTTAACTGGTAGAATGGATAACCTTATTGTATGCCTTTAGGTACAATCGTAAATTATACATATTGTTATTTTATTAGATATAATTGTTATTGCTTTGCTCATTTTTTTGTATTTTTTGGTGAACACTCTCAATAAACTACTATTACTAATTCCTTTTCTGATTAAGGATACTAATTGCCACTCATATAGCTGGGCTGTTACTTATAAATAAGTGTAACTTGTTCAGTCATGATAATACAACGCTCCTTCTGCTGACGTTTCAGTTAACACATACTTTAGTTGTTCTCATTCAGATATTTCACTAGCAACTTAAGCAAGTATCAGACTATGGAATGTTCATACCTAAAAGAGTGAAAAGGAAAGGCTTAGGAAACTAGTGATGGCATTTTTCCATTTATACACAAAATCAAATACAGACCAAGTATTGACAGTCATAAGGGACCTTGTATAAAAGGAACTGGCAGTCTTAATCTAGCTCCTACAAAGTTTGTGCCTTTCTTTAAAGCAAAACACAGTCTCAGCTTGGCAAGAAACTCATGATCATCAACATTTTATGTACAGCCCTTTCAAAGTTAACTGTGGTTCTTCTCAGTCAGGGCTGAGATATATTGGAAGGTTAGCTTAGTATTCATTGCTTTTGTTAGCTGCTGAACAGGCTTTTCCACAAGTCATTGCTACTTTGATTAAAATTAACACCATGGAAAACCTTCTAGAAAATGTCTTTTTAGGCTATTCTCACTCCTTCCTTACTCTTTTACTGAAATAAGTACTTACGTACATGATAGAATAAAACAACAGTATTTTACCTTCCAAGTTTTTGTCCTTCTCCGCTGAAAGCTTTGAATTTCAATCTAGGCTTTACATATTCTTGCTCTTGGTGATCTTCCATATCCAAATTAACTTGGCCACCATGGACCAATCGCTGAAGCTCCACAGGAATCTCTCTTAATTTCAAAAATAAATTGTTCTTAAAGCACACAGCAGAAAGTCCCGATTACAGAATAGTAGGCCATTACAATACTAATCAACAAAAAAAAGGATAAGCAATATTTTAATAAGGAGCTGAGATGACTGCCACATTTGTATCAAAGTGTAAAGGAACCCACTTAATGTATATACCTACTTCCTTCAGAAGCCACAGATAAAAATAAGACTTCAGACAAAAAAAAGAATTAATGAGGAGCAGCAATAAGCCATGTGTGGCATCCTGGGTGCAGTAATGAAATAGTGAATGAGAAAAAATACAGATTGACAGTACTTTAACATTTTTGTGTATTATTTGAGAACTTAAAATACAATTAAGGTATGCAGAAATCATGTCTAAGAATAATTACTCTAGTTAGGAGGCCAAATTTTTTATATTTTTTTCTACTAGTCAAGCACTTTTTGAAATAATCTCCAACAGGCTATTTTCCTTGTTTATTACTGTCCTTTAGAGGGATTCTCTCACCTAAACTGGATTAGGTGATAAAAATATTGTATTTGATAAAGATATTACAGTAGCAATCCAGAGACCTCAGTTGATATGACAGTCCTATTACATGAATCTGTGCACACCTATGCACAAAATCCTACCTCAAGGAGTCTATAATCTTAGATGACAATCAATATACAAAGGTGGAGAGGAAAAGATACAGTCCGTGTGACAGAACATATGCAGTGTAAACAGCTTGGTGTGGCCCTGTGAGTATGTCCTGGAAGCATGAAAAGGTTCTCTGACCCTATCTTGTTTTAATATGACCCTCATAAAACAAGGAAAGTAGAGTGTTTACCCTATTACACCGTAGAGATTTCCTTTAATTCAATTGTGTGCTGTTCAGTACATATTCAGCAAGAAAATCATCTTCCAAAGCCAATAGTTACATGACATCAGTTTACAAAAAACATAAGTACCTCACATTTTGAAAAATATTAGAGATAAGTAAAATGGCTAGAGTTTTCTTCTAAAGAACTAGGCCAAAAAAAATTGAACTACACAAAATGGGTATATATTTTATTTTATAAGATGTAAAGATATGTACCAGCAGAAGCCACAAGCACAATGCCATGTGGTTATTTCCGCCTGGAACCTATTTCCACACGTAAAGTAATCTCCACTGAGTAGTATGTAGAGCCATTATTGTGTCAGATAATGCTCACTAACACATAGACTTCTGAAGTGTTGCAGGATTTCTCATTGCTGCTCTGTCATAATAAATGGAGTAGTCCCCCTATGACAGCATTTCCCAAACCTTGTGGGTTTCTGCCCCACTGTAGGAAAGTTGAACACTCTTGAATCCCTTATACTTCAGTTACAACCATTGCTTCATTCACCACTGATACTCTCATGCCCCCTACTTCAGCTGATGTTACCGCTTGCTCTTGACACCACGTACAGTGGCAGCAGCTGAAGTACACGGAGCATGATAGAAGCAGCAATAGTGACTGAAGTACAAGGGGGTGCAAGTGTGTGTGAAGCAGGAAGTTGACTACCTGTCTCCCCTAGGAACCTTCACTGCCTCCCCTGGGAGCATGCCCCATAGTTTAGGAAACTGCCGTATGGAACAGTTCCATACTGTTGATTTACCTCCTTTAAAAACAATGAAGGACAGAAAATTAAAAAAATGTACAGCATACACTATTATAAATGTCAAGTTGTAAATACCTCATGATCCATTTTGAAGAGGTCCCTTTGACAATATATACTCTGTGCATGTGAATTATATCTCTGATGTAACATCAGTCAATCCAATGTCATTTTCCATACCATTATTATTTATTCTAATACTCAATAGTTATCTTCTGAAAGAGGGTTAAAGATCACTAGTCATTTATTTTGTGTTTCCATAGTGTCTTGATTAAGAAACTGTGACCCTGGGTGGGGTCTGAATCTCGTAGTGACTTGGTTACAGGGCCAAGATAGATCTATAGTGGACATAACCCAAAGACACAGGGAGACTAAAGCAGAGTGGCCATACAGCCCCAAGCAGACATATTCTCTCTCTCCCTTCCACTGATAATATACACTCAGAAAAATAACCACTTTTACAACTTACCCCCTTTTAACAGACTCAAGAAACTGAGCATTTGTTGGGTCTGCATAGGATCGCAGCTCTCCATCATCTAAACTGAAACCATTCCTCCAAAGTTTTAGCAATATTTGAACCTATTAAATAAAGACAAATCATCGTAAAGAACAAAATCTGAAACACTGTGTGTATGTAGATTTCTCTCTCCCTTTCTCTCTCTCTATAGCTAGAGATCTATATCTACATCTATCTATAGAGACAGAGACAGGCTAATACACTGACTCTAAAAATAATGTATTTTGTAGTAAAATATTACAACAGAGGGGCAACAAAATCTCCAAAGGACCACAGAGGTGGTTCCACAGGGTGAGAGGGAGAAGGGAAATGAAAACTACATTCAATTTTCAAAATGGGTCAGTCTCTCTTACTAACATCAGCGCTGGGGCTACAATTGAAATGATAAACTCTGTGGCAACAAGATGTGAGACTGATTGGCACCATCAATATTTACAATAACTCTTGATTTTTTTGTCAATGACACTTAATAGATAAAACAAACACAGACAGAAAATATATGCTAGACTTGGTGGGTAGTGTTACTGCTTTCAAGATAGCGAATATTGTTCCTAGTGAATTTCAGACAAGAACTCCATACCTCCTTGGACATTCCATCAATGATCAGAGGGGAAAGCAACAAGGGTGATGTTGTAGTGGGCGTCTGCTATAGACCACCAGACTAGGAAGATGAGGTAGATGAGACTTTTTTCAGACAACTAGTAGAAGTTTCCAGATCACAGGCCCTGGTTCTCATGGGGGATTTCAATCACCTTGACATCTGCTGGGATGGCAATACAGTAGTGCAGAAGTATTCCAGGAAGTTTTTGGAGAGTGCTGGGACAACTTCCTGGTGCAAGAGAAACTAACTAGGGGCCAAGCTCTTCTTGACCTGCTGCTCACAAACAGGGAAGAATTGCTGTGGGATGTGGAAGTGGATAGCAACTTGGGCAGCATTAACCACGAGATGATCCTAACAAAAGGAAGAAAGAAGAGCAGCGGAGTATGGACCCTAAACTTCGTAAAAGTAGATTTTGACTCCCTCAGGGACCTGATGGTCAGGATCCCCTTGGAAGCTAGGCTGAAGGGGAAATGAGTCCGGGAAAGCTGGTTGTATTTTAAAGAAACCTTACTGAGGGAACAAACCATGCCAATGTGCAGGAAGAATTGCAACTGTGGCAAGTGACCAGCTTGGCTTAGCAGAGACTACTTTGGTGAGCTTAACCACAAAATGGAAGCTTAGAGAGATGACTGTTGGCTTAGGGAGGGGTATAAGTATTGCTCAGGCATGCAAGGATGGAATCAGGAAGGCCAAAGCACAACTGGAATTGCAGATAACAAGGGACATGAAGGGTAACAAGAAGGGTTTCTCAAGTACGTTAGCAACAAGTGGCTGGTCACGGAAAGCGTGGGTCCCTTACTGAATGGAGAAGGTAACACAGTGACAGATGAGGAGGAAAAGATTGACGTACTCGATGCCTTTTTCACCTCAGTCTTCACAGGCAAGGTCAGCTCCCAGACTACTGCATTAGGTAACACAGTTTGGGGAGGTGACCAGCCAACAGTGGGGAAAGAACAGGTTAGGGACTATTTAGAAAAGCTGGATGTGTAGAAGTTCATGGGGCCAGATGCAAACAAATGCATCTGAAGGTGCTGAAGGAGTTGGCTGATGTGATTACAGAGCCACTGGCCGTTATCTTTGAAAACTTGTGGTGATTGGGGGAGGTCCCAGACAATTGGAAAAGGGCAAATATAGTGCCCATCTTTAAGAAAGGGTAGGAGGAGGATCCAGGTTACTACAGATTGATCAGATTCACCACAATCCCCAGAAAAATCATGGAGTAGATCCTCAGAGAATCCATTTCTGAGCACTCAGAGGAAAAGAAAGTGATCAGGAAAGGTCAGAACAGTCACCAAGGGCAAGTCAAGCCTGGTCAACCTGATTGCTTTCTATGAGATAACTGGCTCTGTGGATGCAGGGAAAACAGTAGACATGATATACCTTGACTTTAGCAAGTCTTTTGACACCATCTCCCACAGCATTCTTGCAAGCAAGCTGAGGAAGTATGGGTTGGATTAATGAACTACAAGGTGGACAGAAACCTGGCTGGACTGTCATGCTGAATGGGTAGTAATAAGTGGCTCCATGTCTAGCTGGCAGCTGGTGTCAAGTGGAATGCCCCAGGGGTCAGTCCTAGAGCCAATTTTGTTCAATATCTTCATTAACGATCTGGAAGATGGGATGGATTGCACACTCAGCAAGTTTGTTGATGACACCAAGATGGGGGAAGTTGTAGATACACTGGAGGGTAGGGCTAGGATTCAGAGTGACCTAGACAAATTGGAGGATTAAGCCAAAAGAAATCTCATAAGGTTCAATAAGGACAAGTGCAAAGTCCTGCACTTAGGATGGAAGAATCCCATGCATCACTATGGGCTTGGGACCAACTGGCTAAGCAGCAGCTCTGCAGAAAAGGACCTGGGAGATACAGTAGACAATAAGGTGGATATGAGAGTCAGCAGTGTGCTCTTGTTGCCAAGAAGGGTAACAGCGTACTGGACTGCATTAGTAGGAGTATTGCCAGTACATCTAGGGAAGCAGTTATTCCCTTTTCTGCACTGGTGAGGCCACATCTGGAGTACTGTTTCCAGTTTTGGGCCCCCCACTACAAAAAGGATGTGGACAAGTTAAAGAGAGTCCAGCGGAGGAAAATGCAAAGAGTTAGGGGGTGGGTAACATGACTTCTGAGGAGAAGTTGAGGGAACTGGGCTTATTTAGTCTGCAGAGGAGAAGACTGAAGATGAATTTGATAGCAGCCTTCAACTACTTGAAGGATGCTTACAAAGATGTATCTAGACTGTTCTCAGTGGTGACAGATGACAGAACAAGGAGCAATGGCAAGGGAGATTTAGACTGGATATTAGGAAAAACTCTCTCACTAGGAGGGTGGGAAGGCACTGGAACAGGTTACCTAAAGAGGTGGTGGAATCTCCATCCTTGGAGATTTTAAAGGCCCCACTAGACAAAGCCCTGGCTGGAATGATCTATTTGCAGATGGTCCTGCTTTGAGCAAGGGGTTGAACTAGATGACCTCCTGAGGTCCCTTCTAATCCTAATTTTCTCTGATTCTATCACTTCAGAGGAGCTATTCTTAAATATGAAGCTGTAGAACAAGCAATCATCCACAGGCAGGATTGTGTTAAATGTGTGCTCAGTAGAGACTCTGCGTTCTTTTTCTAGCTTTTAAAACTCATTAAAAGACACAGGGGTTAACTGCTTTGTTTATCCCTTCAACTCACCTTTATCCGTCTCAGAAATACCTCTTTGTTTTCTCCCACTTCCCCTGTACTTTGTAATTAAATGACTTTGTTCCCTTCTGTTTCATAACACTGCAAGTCCATTCAAAGCATCTGACGAAATAAGATGTAGTCTACAAAAGCTCATGCCTCTGAACAAGTTAGTATATAATGTGCCACCCTGCCCAGCTTTCTGCCTACCTTCAGTCTAACATAGCTAACTACTTCTCTCTCTATAATGGAAGAAGGCACATGAGAGTGGCATCTTAAAATCTAATTCATACAGAAAAGCAAAAGCTTTCATCAGTATTTGATGCTTATGACTCTCTGAATGAGTTAGTCTCTAAGGCACCACCCTGCCCTGCCTTCGTCCTCACTTTATACTAGCACCACATTCTCTCAAAATATAACAAAGAAAGAGAAGAAATTCAAAACTCTATGCAGTTTGAAAACTTAGGAGATGGGGAAAAGTAAAATCATCCCTTGTAAAAAAAGAAAAAGAAGAAAAGGCAAAATTCATTTATAGAGAAAATGAGACAGTACTGGAGCATTCAAGAAGGTAAACTAAGCATATCAGAAGTGGGGAACAGAGGAATGAAGATTAGGAACAGAGAAGCTGATCTGTGAATTAATTTGCATAGAGGTGATAACTGAAGTCATGTGAGGCTATCTAAAGCTCTGCAGAGGAGGGGACCTAGGCCAGAAACCTGAAGGATACCAACAGAAAAAATATGTTCTAATTTTAATGTAGCTCTACTGCTGTCAAAGTGAATTTTACTATTTTTATTGCATTCAGAGCCCTAACAGGTTTCTTCAGTGTCAAAAAAGTTTTTAATTTTCTTCTCTCTTCTCTTTTTAGCACTGCTGCTAGAGAAGCACTCTTGTTTTCCATTTTGAGTGGAATGTAATAAGTAATTCTTTTGATTCAGTCACAGTTGTGCAAGGCAACCATAAGGCTTTCATAACTGAGGCTGAAAAATCAACCCTGGTATTGGAATCTTTTATTATTGGTTATAAGCATTGGTATAAAGGAACCTGTCTTATTCTCATAGTGCAGATCATTTTTAAGTTTGACAGTGAAAGAAAAACTCAGTACACTTGATACAGCAACTGGCATACAATAAACAAATATTATGGATTACAGCTTTTCATTAAATCAATTAATAAAAAATGCCATTTCAGGGAGGCCAAATTATTTGAGATCTTGAGATGAAACTTGGTGGATAATTTTGGCTGAAATTAAATGGACAAAGTATATCAGAATAATTCATTCTGGCACTTTATTTTTGACATACCTCATAAAAATAAAAGGAAACAAGGGGTCACATTCACAGAATGGCTGAGAAGAAGGAACTCAAGGCTGGTCTCCCAAGCCTGTATCCAGTTGCCCAGTGATTAGGGCATAGGATACTTCTGTTCAATTTGCAGTTATTCCTAAAGTGTTCTGAACCAAGTCTCTGACCTCCCAGAAACCAGAGAACGAGTAATACTCTAGTATAGTGGCTAGGATACTTGCTTGGAAGGTGGGGGGAATGGTTCTAATCCCTACTGAGTTAGACAAAGAGTCTATCTGATCTACACCATTTCCCACCTCCCCCCACCTCCTAGTCACTATCTTAGAGTAACTGTCATCATCTGGCTCCATAGGCTATTTAAATATTCCTTGTCAGGTGGGACAGCATCAGTGAGACAGATAGAGAACAACCTACATGGATGGCTTTATAGCCTGGGGGTTAGGACACTATCTTAGAATGTATTCGATTCCCCATGGACAAAAGAAAGATTAGATCATGTATACAGAGGTACATACATACATACATGTAGAACATATATATGTATTTTTTCCCCTACCCTAAATTGGGCTTAAAATTATTCCAGCTGAATCGTTATTTTCCAGCAAAACAGGAACCTTAGCAAGGGTCTTACATGGTTAGTGGGTATTAGACAGTATTTTCCAAGTTTATGAAATGCATTTTTTGTTTCTCATGAAATATAACAGATATAATTACATTTTCTGACTTGTTATGATAATTACAGGTTATTACAAAGTACTCACAGCAGTGCAACCTTTCTTGTGACAAAGCTAGATGTAGTCTGACAACTGCTTTCACCAACAAATCTTTTCTCTACCAAAATTTATCCACCCCATCATCTATATAATTTTTGTATGTGCAGATGATTTGACTCAGATAAATTATGCTTAATATGTATGATGTTCTATAACTACTGCTTGTAAACAAAACTAAAGCAACAGTTTGACAACTTGAGGTTCAAACACTGCTAACCAGAGGTCTCTGTCTACCTGTAACAATGTTTTCTTCTATTCAGCTTTTTACTCACATCTTGACCATGTTGATTTTCGCCATATATGTATTCAGAACGCTTAAATGATGAGTCACCCAATCTGTATCCGCCGCCAGAAAATGACTGTTAAAAGTATTCCAAAGAAAGGGAATTAAAAATATGCAGAACAGCCTAAGCAGATACAGGAAACAGTTTACAGAAGTATTTAGTTCTGTGTGAGCATATAAATTAAAATACATATGTTTCTTCTTCTGTGGTAAAGAAGCAAAAACAACATTCCTTACACCTTTTAATTAGCCAAGTAGGCATAGTAATTATAACAAGGCTAAGCTATTTTTGCACTACAAAATGTTAAACAGGGAAACTGAACATTTTCAGACGTTAATGATAGAATTCAATTAGTTTGGCAAAAAGACTAATTGATTAGGTTTTTATTAAACTTAATTAAAAATAAATCAAACATAATCCAAGTTCAGGCAAATTAAAACATCTGACAACTAATCTAAAATTGTCTTTACTGGCTTTATAATTATGAGTAATGGATTTAAGTGTATATAAGCCCATAGTGTCTTCATAACATCTTCTGATTTTCCTTAAAGATGCACTTTTATTTAATTAATTTTTTTATGATCAGATGCAGTTAATTTAAGGACCTATACATTCTAATATTATAAAAGCCTAAGTCTGTCTGTCCATAATGCTTTATTTGTGCTCTGATTGGCTGTCTTGGCAGCCAGAGTGCCCTACACAGACAGAGACAGACAGTGGAGCATCACCATGACAGTGGGGACTGAGTGGCTGGAGGGGAAGCGGTGGGGAGCAACCCTGGCTCCAGCCCAAAGCAGCAAGGGGAGGGGCAGTGGGGAATGGCCCCAGTCCCGGCTCCAGCCTGAAGCAGCAGGAGGGGGAGGAAGAGGAGAGGGGGAAAAACAGCCCCAGCCCAAAGCGGCGGGGGGGAATGGCCCAGGCCCCAGCCCCAGCCCAAAACAGCGGGGGGAACCCGAAGTGGCAGGGGGGAGAGGGAGAACAGCCCAGGCCCCAGCCTGAGATGGGGGGCGGGGGAAGGGATGCAGGCCTCTGTCCTCACCCACCCCACCCCACCCCACCCCCATCATTCTTGATGGGCAATTGGCTAGGAACTATATAAGAAAATTGGTATTATATTAACACCTCTTCTATTGCTCTTTTATTCTTACCTTGGCTTTACTGAAATCACCTGAGGCTCTTGTGGCTTCATCCAATGGAACTGCCCCATGTTCTTTTGCTTCTTTGAAAAGTTCATTAACAATTTTACCAGGTTTCTTATTATGAGAAGGCCCAGCAATCTGTAGTCCGCCATATTCCGAGTCACCTGAGTAAAATCTTTATAAACAGTAACATTAATGAGTGACAACATTTTATATGAGGGAACTCAACCTTTTTAAATTTAAAAAAAATTAGTAAATAAATGGAGCCAAATTTGGGTACAAAGCAAAAGAGTTCCATCGAGTTCTCACTTTTCGGTATTTCTAGGTCACACTGTTCCAAAGGCATTCCACTAACGGAACACAAATAGATCTCTAATTAGGAAGCAAAGCAATCTGCTTTAGTGAACGAAACCCTAAAATCATGATGGATTTATGCATCTTTTGTAGATTCTGCATGGAAAGAACAAGGTCCTCTAGAGAAGTCCTGTGCAAGCACTAAGATTTGTTAGAAAACAGATGGAAACTTATTAGTGCCTTTAGAGCAGGGGAGGGTAATTGTTTCAGGTGGAAGGCCACTTACCCAGTTTTGGCAAGCTATCAAGGGCTGCATGGGTAGCTTCATCCCTTGACAGGTGCCCTGCCCCCAGTCACCATCTTGGGACCAATGTCTCAGGGTCAGTGCTGGGGGGCACAAGAAGTGCATCCTGCCATGTATCCCTGCCCTCATTTTGTTTTGAGCAGGCAGAGGCAGCCCCACACAGGCTGCGAGTGGTTGCAGTGTGGGGCATGGGGTGGGCCACTTTGCCTGTGATCAGCACCACCTTCTAACCTGCCCCTGCTGCCAGCCTGGGCCCTGTGCCGGCTGCAGGCTTGCTCATCAGGGCTGCGCCGTGGTGGCAGCAGCTATGCACCCCTGCTTGCCGCACCGCAGAGTGTTTGCCACTGCCGTCTCTGGCCTGCCCAGCACATGAGCTCTGGGCAGCGAGCAGCAGCAAACACTGCCCGGCGTGGCAAGCGGGGGGAGGCCACAGCTGCTGTCGCCATGCACAGTCTCGACAGCCGAGCCCAGAGCCAGTATGGGGCCCAGACTGGCAGTGGGGCTGGGTTACAAGCTGGTGCTGAGCAGGGGGAAAAGCAGCCCCTTCCCCGCCCCATGCCTGGTGCCCCGTGCTGTAGCCGCTTGCAGCCCATGTGAGGCTGCTTAGGACAGCCCTGAGCGGGCTGCAAGTGGCTGCAGCAGGGCCACAGGGTGGGCAAGGGGCCACTTTTCCCCGTACTCAGCTTTTTCCCAGGCTCCTTCCCTGCCCGCCCCCTCCCCCCCAAGGTTCCGGCGCGGTGTAGCCATGTGGTCCCAGGCCAGAAGCCCCTGCTGGAGCTTACGGCTGGGAGGAGGAGGGGAGCCAGGCTGGGCGGGCCCTGCTGTTGTGGGAGCCTGCTGGGCTTCCCCTGGGTTGTACTGCCCCTGGTTCCTGACATTTTTTACAGGAAACAAAGACAGAGATATATTAATTTTCTAAATTTTTTAGGGGCCTTGCAGGCTGGATAGAATGGCCTCGTGGGTCGGATCTGGCCTGTGGGCCGTATTTTGCCCACCCCTGCTTTAGAGAATGATTATACAACTGTATACAGGAAAGTATGCACAGTGCCAGAATTTGGCCCTGTCAGTCTAAGATCCATTTTTCTTGTAATGCTAATAATTGTAATAAATATTTTGTTAACAGTGTAGTTAAGTACATTTTGGAATCTACAGTAACTTTACTGAAAGCCACTGGGTTAAAAAAAAAAGAAAATAACAAACTTCTAGATTTGCTTTTGATGGAAGTTCATTTCTAGTTAACGAAAAGACAATCATTTAACATTATGTAGAAGTAATTAGCTTACTTGACTAGAAAAACAGAC